GAATGTACAAACGTACTTTACACAATTGATGTATGTATGGATTGTGATAAGAGTTGTATGAGCCCCTAATTTAAATATATATATATATATATATATAAACTTTACCCCAAAAAAAGGAAACTAAAGAATAAAGAATCCCAAGATTCTAACCCTTCTGAAAAAAATGAGCAAAAAACTGTCAAAATAAAAAAATTAAACAAAGAATGGACTCTCCCAAACAGCAATGCCTGTGAGACAAGATCAGCTGTCACCCTAAGATTGGTGTATACCAACAGAAAAGAGTGCCCTTGAACTAATATCAAGTAATCAACCCAAACCACTGCGCCCTCATCCCAGTACCACCTACTACTGCGACGAGGAAATCCTGTGTCCTGCATCTCATCATAGACCCCCCCCAAAAAAGGAACCAACCCCAAGGCTTCTACAAGAATAAAATGAGCAGCAGAACTTTTTTGCTAATAAAATCACTTCCTGAAAAGATAAAAGAATACGTCTACTTGTTTAAATACTTCAATATGAATTAAATAAACCGTTTCAAATATTAAAGAACAATCCAATCCAATGGACAAGCAAGAAGAAGTGAAATGAGACCTGACAGCAAATTACACAGCAACAAAATCTCACCCAAGAGAGAATAGATACAGGAAAGCAATAAAGGACATGGACACAGGTATTATGACATCTAAGACGTTTATTTAATGTTGTCCTAAAATAAGTAAAGATGGAGGTAAGACGGATGAGAAACAAAGCAAGATATAAAAGCTAGACAAGTCTGGCAGATCCCCTCTGGCCACAGTCAAGGGATGAGGACAGCTCTGCTATGAGACAGACGTGATAGTAAACTTGATTACGGTGAATGGATCGATGGTAGAATATGATAAGCTGGAGGCTTGACCTCCCTCTTGACCCAACCTTTGCTCTCGGTTTAAGTAATTCTCCCTTGTTCTACGATAGCTTTTTAAAATATTGCTCTGGCTTTTTAAAATATTGCTAGTGGTCTTTTCTTTATTTATTTTTATTTTTATCTTTGTATTATTTATTTTCTTTTGGTTTCGTTTTTGATTGTGTCTGTCAGGTGTCCCAGTTTATGGAGCGCAGAAGGAGCACATGCATAGACGATTCCTGATGCGGTGGTTGATAGGGATGGGGGTGGGTAGAGTGAGGGGAACTGGGGAGCAAATAAGGAATATGGGAGGTGGGAGGGAGCACTGGGACTTCAGTGTAATAAGTGAATTTTATATCAATAAATTATCAAGCAAAAGGAAACATGGACTCAAATCTACTTACCAAGAAGAATGATCCATTCATTTATTGACAAGTCACCAAGAGTAGGCTTCGAGATTGACGCAGCCAGCATGTCCAAGTCCATTTCCTGGAGGCTCCTTATTGTTGTGCTCTGTGTGCGTGGCGTTAGCTCAAGGCTTCTCTCACGGCCCTAAAAAGGATTGCTACCTTCACACCTAGGCTTCATATCCATTCCATAGGCATCTTCAAAATGAGTATTTTGGCTCTTCTTTTTTTTAAATATCATTTTATTGGGGAATCTTATAACAATCCATACATCAATTGTATATTTATACATATGTTACCATCGTTTTTCATAATACATCATTTTATTGGGGGCTCATACAACTCATCACAATCCATCCATTTATACATTGCATCAAGCACATGTGTACATTTGTTGCCATCATCATTTTCAAAACATTTTCTTGCTACTTGAGCCCTTGGTATCATCTCATTTTTCCCTTCCCTCCCTTCCTCACAAACTCTTGATAATTTATAAATTATTATTTGTTCATGTCTTGCACTGACCAATGTCTCCCTTTACCCACTTATCTGTTGTCCATCCCCCTGGGAGGGGGTTATAGATAGGTCATTGTGATCAGTTCCCCCTTTCTCCCCCCACCTTCCCCTTACTCTCCTGGTATGGCTACTCTCAATCTTGGTCCTGAGGAGTTTATCTGTCCTGTATTCCCTGTGTTTCAAGCTCTTATCTGTACCGATATACATGCTCTGGTATAGCCAGATTTGTAAAGTAGAATTAGCGTCATAATAGTGGGTGGGGAGGAGGCATTAAAGAACTAGAGGAAAGTTGTATGTTTCATCGTTGCTACACTGAACCCTGATTGGCCTATCTCTTCCCCGCTGCCCTTCTGGAAGGGGATGTCCAGTTGC